GGAGCTACTTTCAATTAAGTATGCCCTTGTAAAGTTTCGGGTGCACCTCTTGGGCACCGAACCTTTTGTGGTTTATACGGATCACGCATACTGCGGACCGCTATAAATTCACCGCATCTATCGCCGAGAATGGCGAGATGGCTAACATTCTTCTCTGAATTTAATTTCAAAGTTAAATATAAGCCGGGTAAGTCGAATGTCTTGGCTGACGCGTTATCGCGCAGACCAGACTTCGAGGCAAGACACCAGGAAAGTGTGTCTCGTGCGGAAGCACAAGGTGAGTCGTCAACATTGGCAGCCATGAAGGCCTACCATGTGACGAGCTCAATGGCCTCCAATATAAAGGAGTGTTACAGTCAGGACGAACATTGTCGCCTGCTGTTGGATCATTTTGGTGGACGAAGGTTACCCTTCCGTCGCACCTAAAAGCGAAGTTAAACCACTTTATATACAGTGATGGCCTATTATGGCATCAACTGTCACCCTGTGATCCCTTGAGAATCTATGTCCCTCATGACACAGATCTCAAGCTGATGATACTTCACGAGTGCCATGATGCGCCATCTAGTGGGCATCTGGGCCGTGACAAGACATTCTTACGAGTGTCAGAGGAATTTTGGTGGCCCCACCTATATTGGTGGGTGGCCAACTATATTCGCTCTTGTGAAGAGTGTCAGCGCATAAAGCCTGCACCTTCGAACAGTGCGCCACCGAAGCCACTGCCGATTTCAACGGATTGTGGGAAGTCGGTCAGTTTGGACTTCATGTTTGGCTTACCGCCTGACCATAAAGGCAGGATGGGGCTCGTCGTCTTTGTATACAGACCGAGCAAGATGGTGCATGTGGCACCATGTAGCACCAAGATCTCAGGAAAATAGGCTGCCCTCTTGTTCCTGGATCACGTGTAACGGCTACACGGGATGCCCGAGTCCATAGTATCGGATCCGAATCCGCGTTTTACGTCGGGTTTTGGTGACACGTGTTCGAGCTGCTGGGTAGAAAGCTCCACATGTCAACAGCTGATCATCCCCAGACCGATGGCCAAACAGAACGGGCCAATCGAGTCGTGGCGGATGTGTTGCGTACAATAGCGACTCCCAAAGAATGGAGCAAGCAATTGCCATTCGTGGAGTTCCTTATCAATAACAGTGTTCACGCTAGTACGGGTGAAACACCGTTTTACATTAACGGACTGCGTCATCCTCGAACGCCAGTCTCGTTTGTACGCAACCCGAGTATTAGTGGGGAGAGCCCCTCACTTCGCTCGGTGCGAATGCCAAAAAGGGCCAAGGTTGCCCTAGTGACAATGTTCATTTAGCAGTGGTCACGACACCTATAGGTGTCACAGAGGAGGCTTGACAAGAAATACTTGTGCTCCTTCACGATGACACTATAGTGTTATCAACAGCATCGACCTATGAACGACCTCTTGGAGGCGTCATCGGCGATCTGGATGCTAAAAGCGTGAGCGAAGCTCAGCGCTTTGTGGATGAGCGATTATCCTTCACATGTAAATTCCGTGACGCGATGGCAAGCGCACAGGACAAGCAAAAACAATATGCAGACCAGCATGGTCGCAAAAACAATGAACACTTTAGTGTGGGGGACAAAGTGCTATGAAGTACTGCTACCCTACCTACTGCAATCTCTGTACTACCTGGTGGTACTACTAAGCTATTGCCCCGACTCATTGGGCCCTTTACAGTGGTTGAAGAAGTTGGAGGCCTAAATTATAGGTTCACAATCCCACCGTATATGAAGACGCACCCCGTATTTTACGTGGGTCGTCTGAAACGGTATGTTGATCCAGAAGAGATCACATATCCACATCGGTCTAACGAGACCGATGGTGACGTCGACTGTGAGTCGAACGTCGCGGCCGATCAGGCGACGAGGAAGCCGAGAGGATCCTCGTATACGAACGAGGCGATAGAGGACTCAGCGATCGAGGAAGACTCCGCGCTTGACGCGGGTATCTCATCAACCAGTCACTCAAACATGTCCAAACGGAGCTTCAGGCGGTCATACCCCTGACGGTCCCTCGTCCTCACATCGCGCAGATCCAAAGTCAGTCGCGAGACTTGACTTGAAAGATCAGCCACCTCTTTCTTCAGCGCAGCGGACTCAGCCTGCGGCTGAACCTCCGCAGGGTAGGCAGCCGCGAATAGCTGGGCGTAATCGCCGCTCCTATTGGGCTTTACCTGTGTTGGCGAACTCAGGTGGAAACACACGCGTCTTTGTTGGATAGTGGGACGGACCAGTGTTCTCTGCTGACAAGCTGACATTGAATGTCGGCTTTCTCACAGAGACACTTAGCGACGGCTGCAAGTTATCGCGGCGTGAGCGCTTTGAGTTGGTACGCATGGGAGCCTTTGCAAGCAACCCATCAGCTTTTCCAAATTTCGTTGGCATCGTTTTTTATTCGATTTTTAACAAAATGTAAAACATCGTCTTAAAGAGGGGGATGGTGTAATGAGCTAAAGTTATACGGTTCGTTAGGTATCGAATACCTAGCGGACAGGCCTAAAAAGGTACGAGGTACCTTAGGCCTGCCAGTTGGGTGTGGCACATCAATGTGACCCATCCTCGTGAATGTGATATCCATGGATGGATTCACATTCAACGGCGATGACGCCAGTTGGGACTAGGCGTCATGGCGACGCTTCGAACAGACTTCATCAGCGAGCTCAAATATATTTTAAGCTCGCACGTAAGGACACGCTTCTAAAGAGACGCGTATCCGATCTTTGCATAATTAGCCCATCAGTAGTTAATCTTATATATAGTTTAAAATCTATTAAATATAAGTCAGTCTTGAATTTACTAACTATTGCCCACTGCGCACGAGAAGCTTGATAAGCTTCGGTGTGACGTAAGTGATGTACTCCTTAGTTGTTCGTTGCGCGTACCGCTCTAAACGGCCGGCAAAGATTGGTTCTGCGACAAAAGCGACCGACCAACGCAACCACCACCGCACGCGGATGTAAGAAGATTTAACCGCTTCCTCGCGCTGAACGAAGGCGTGTGCTTGCGTAGCACGTCGCAGCTTCTTTACAGTGCTGACTACAGGTAATATTTACTCGCATATCGTTTTGTCATGGAAGTGCTGTTGAATACTTGGCCGACGTTTGAAAAATTGTAGGTGTCACTATCGATTACAGGGTACGGCGCAATTGTTTTTGTCCAAAGCGTCATTCTATTTTTTAACGATTGCCTGCGTAGTCGTAGCCTACGATCTCGTTGCTGCAGCACCGTCCGGATCATGCTTTTTATCGCTCTTGGCGATGTGAACAAATAAAATGGCGATCAAGAACTGCAAATGCATTGGGTAAGAACGCGAGTTTGCGTCTCCGCAAGCTATGCACGACCACCCAGCCCGAATGAGCAAGGTCTGCGCATGGGCAATGGCTGCGGATGGGCGATGTTTGTGGATGAGCGATGTCTTTCCGTGAAGACTCACAACGAGGAGGTCAGAAGTGACAATTCTAGGTCGCAATCAGATTAGGGCGTAGAGCTGCTTGGACCCATTGACCGGTTGATAGTTAATTGTCAATCATACTCGTGTCCCATTAGTGATTTTTGACCTGACTTCTCGAGTTCCAACACAATTTTGTGAGGTCTATCTCGACTTCTTGAAACTTTTAACACATGTAGGTGGTAAATTCTATCTAAAGCTAAATATTGGTGCGAGACTGAAGTACGGTGAGGAAACATGAAAGATCGACAAACCACTGGCTTCAAGTGATCCATTCGGCTTCGGGTCGTTGCCCGCTGCTCCAGGTGCTGCTGAGGTAACAACGTAAAACTCGGCGCAAACACCAGCACCGAAAAACGATTTCGTCTGGCTGATATCTCGGTTGACTAATCGACTTTTCCAATAAAGCACATCGTTGAATTTGCATTTAGTTTTGGATGGTTTGTGACCCGTCAACAATTTGTCTTGGACTTAGACCTCCTGTCCGATTTTTTGCCGCCGGTCAAGGCAGCGGTGGACGAGGGAGAACTACATTTTGGACGGAACGAGATCTACACTTGTACAACTTCTATCACCCCGTGATTGGCCACCCACTAAGAGGTACTTAATGCTAGACGTCACATTAGCATGGTGGCGTGGACACGGACTATATGTATCGAGTACGGCATGTGGGGAATCCAAAGCAAAAGATTCGACGGCGTGGTTTCGTCATGCGCGTCATCAAACTGAAGCATCAGTTTAGACTCTACGGCAATATAGTGCCAGGCACGCTGTTGCAAACAAATTGTCACTTATCTAGAGCTGTCAGAGGCATATTTGTTAGCTGTTAGTCTATTCACCACTGCGTTGTAAATGTGAAGCTAGTAGCAAGTAATTGTGATCTTCACGTTTACTTACCACCTTGAGTGTATTTTACTGCATCACACTCTCACCGTGGATCGCTATCGAATGCAAATGTCATGCGTGAATGTCATTTCGGGCTCCGCTTCTTCTAACTTCCTATGGATTATGATCGTATCACTCGTATCGCTTACTCGACATGCTGCAAAGTGGTGTTAAGCTTCGTGACAACCTCGTGGACAGCACTGCCCGACGCAGCTCACTGTAAAGTTATTTTCCTTGTTCACAAATACATCTGCGAGACTATCACAGCAATGCAGCAATCATCACTCATAGTCCACACATTGGTTGATGTACTGTCGCCCGTACGTTTTGCAACGTAAATCTTAGAATGGCAATGCTGTGGGTAACGCTTGAACCAAGTCTTGGTGGTTTTCTTCTGATACAAGTTTGTGGCAGCTTCGTTGTTGCCTGGAGCCATCTCGATACTCATCTATGACACACGACCAACTATTTACAGGGTACGTTTATTGGTTGCTAGCTCCGATCGCAAGCACACTTTAGCTTCTAATGCGCAGCAGTTGACGACCACGCCACAAACGTAACTTATCAACGGCGCGTTTTTTGTCCTTCGACCAGCAGTCCAAAGTCACCAGACCGTTGTTAAATGAACGCTTCAAGTAGTTTAGTTGTTACGCTGTTCCTGTTTGTGTGTCTTTATAACGGAGAACTCGTCGTACACCGTATCCGTGGCAGCTTCGACCATCGTAACTGTAAGATTCGTTGGAGTAACGGAAAGTTTCGTAATGCCGTAGTGAGTGCAGTCCATGTGAGCGAGCCACTCTGGAGACGGAGGGTCTCTGAACTGGAACAGGCGTTCCGAATTACCAGCGCTACCCGTAATTACATACACGGGAGCCTCCGGGTCGGTGTACGTTTTTCTGTCCTTAGATACTCCAGTCATGACGGCCTTGCTGTTTGCTGTCGGGAAGTGTCGCTCATAGGCGTGCACGTGGCCCTGATACACCAGATCCACCTCATATTTGATCAGAAGCTCCTCAAACGCCTTTTGCACTTCAATCGACCCGTCTTCTTCGGGTTCACCATTAGCATTAAACGTACGCAAGCTGTATATTGGACGGTGCATGCAAACAACAACCCATGGCACGATCGCCCTATTGGCATGAGCAGCCTTCAGATCGGCTTCTAGCCAGTCTAACTGGTTTCCAAAGTTACCGTAAATGCGTTTCGTGTAGTATGCGTTGGTTGGTGCATTCGGGTAGTCGGTTTCAGTCGAGATGGCCGTGAAGTGCACCGACGCGTACTCGAACGAGTACCACATGTTAAGTACGCCACCGCTCTCGGGTGAGGGCATCCGGAAGCGTGCATTGAAGGCGGAGTAGTTGCCCAATTGGTCCTTTTTGATGGTCGATTCCAGGCACGTCGGAGAGTGACATTCAGCTTCGTGGTTACCAACTACCACCATGTACGCCATTTGACGCATGACATGTGTCATCGAGTTCATGAACTTGTTCCAGATCTCTTCGTAAAAGAAGCCGAATATAGTCGCTACAGTCACGAAATCGTTGTCGGCGTACGAAATATCGCCCAAATGGAAGATAAAATCGACCTTTCCTGCCAAGTTGTTGATGTATTTGTTTGCTGCAACAGCGTTCGCGTCCGTGCCCATGTCTCCATACACGGCCACGACAAATGGGCTTTCGTCTCCACTGGAACGAGCCGTCTTGAACGAGCTTACAGCACTTTGAGCCTTTGTATTGGTAGAGCTGCCCACCTTATAGAAGTATTCGGTGTTTCGCTCCAGTTCAGTCACTACAGCGTGGTAATTATACAAAGAGTAGTCGTCTTCCTTGTAGTAACTTTTCGTTACGATCTTCGCAGTCTTTGCTCGAACGATTGTGGATTCGCTTGCTCCAATCCACACAGCTGGAACTTCTTACATAAAATATAATTAATATGTAATTTTTTAATATTCTTAAATTTATATTTTTACAGTGCGAATGTGGTCCAGGAGATCGCCATACCGGTACCAGCTTTCTCACCGGCAAAGGCTACGTGCAACTGTTGTGGTATCTTGGTGTGGTCACCGGTACGGGTCACACGACACGCTTGGGACGGTGTAACATCGCCGAACTGGTACTGGGTTGAGCACTTGTCTTTCGGTTCGCAGCTCAGCGAATACCACTTGTACACACACGTCCGGTCGTCTATGCTGAACTGATCGGCCTTGTTGGCGTTCTCATCAGCGACGTCATTAGTGCTGAAGAAGCTCAAGAAATTAGACTTGAAACCGGTCGACTTGGCCGACGTGATGGAGCACAAGGCGCTTGCACCCACCGCCAGCTTGACAGCGGTAGGAAGTCGCATCGTGTAAGAGTGTGGTTGTGGACCGGAGTCGTCGAAGCAAAAGTGACGATGTTAAATCCGGTCGTGTCTCCAGCATTTGTCATATGGCTGGTGTCCATATTTTAGCAGCCAAGAAGATGGTATTTGCCGGTCATTCTGCATATCATTTGGGCGAGCACGATCCACGTGTAGATTCAAATGTCGCATTTACTCTATGCAGTTGACGTTCAGCCAAAAGCCTGCTGATCGGTCCGTTTCGTACAGAGTGTCCTCATCCCTCCTTGAACTTCGTGCCCCGATCATTCTTCGACGTCTCTATCGGTTTGCTCGTGTTTGTATGTATGTATGTAGTAAACGCTTACGCGAGCCGTCTTGTCAATAACGTGGCTCAAATTTTCGCATGCGTCGGATTATCTCTCATTCCTTACTGTTTTCTCTACCCTCACAAGGGTCAATTAAGCGGCGCTGAAGGCTATCTAGACTGCACGATCCTTTTGCACAGGTACAGGTCTGGGGCCAGTCGACGGCGGTGTCCAGCGGTAGGTTTCTTTGCTTGGATCCCTTGGATGTTAATCTTCTCAATAGGTCGCACCCAGGGAGAGGTCTCTTGTTGCTTGCACCGTGGAACAAAGGATTACGCGAGCGTGCCTAAGCGACGATGCGAGGACTTCGAGACTTCGGGCGTGGCGCCGTACATCGTGGCGGCTTGGCTGGCGGCTGGGGGTGAGAGCGGCAAGAGAAAGGTGTGTAGAGATAGAGGCACGTCAAAAACTGACAGATGCCGCGAAAGTATCCGTCAAAAGGCCTGAGCTAGTATCGAGCTACCTAAAGCCTTACGGGTTGATAGTTAGTTATAGCTAATTCAATTCGGGCTGTCAACACTCACGATGCCTTTTTTAGCTGGCTTGGCACGATCCATCTTGAGAAGATCGTTCTCGTAGGGTCGTTCATATAGTATATGTCTGCATGGAAGCATAAAGATGCATCCACACGTAGAGAGCTAAATTATCAACATATGAATTATACAGAGCTATATCCAAATACCGAATGTACACAAAATAATTGTGGAATTCACTGTCGTCCCTCTGGCCACCCAAATCAATATTTTTAAACGAATGTTGCCCCTCGGCCAGCTTGTATTGCTCAGAACATCTATATAACGCACTGATTAAAGCGACTGCTATCAACATGGGCCGTTGAGTAACGACACTCAACACAATAAAAAAATAATCTCTGTCTTCGCGTCGTGGTAATTACAGATTCCCATTCGCCAATAGTAAAGTTTTTTATTGACGACTTTCTTTACAAGCCTCACTTCGATTCAAGCTCCATGGCACTATTTAAAGGAGTGCAACATTCATCTACAAAAAAATTATACTGTCGTTTTCGAGAGTTTCCGTCGAAACGTCTTTGTGGTCGTCAAACTGCTGTAGCGAGTCGACACTCGTAAGAAGCTTAGCTGCTTCGCTCTGTCGTATCAAACACCTATACTAGAGCACTGACGTCTCAAACAAGTTCGACCGACTACCATTATAGCAGTCGCGTAGCATAGACCATTCTTCCAAAACCACCTATTTATCGTGCACGTCTCACATCCGCCACAACAACCCGTATTAGGCTATAAGCATCACTACCTCGCGTGAAGTGCAGTATGGGAGGGGGTGGGCAGTTCCAAAGCGATCTCTTTTAAAAAATAGACTGTTTTGACTTTGAAGTATGTACGTTTCTCCTTACGTTGAAATTTTTGTCTGCAGCACTCCATCTTATCGTTTAGTTTATGTAATCCAGTGTGGTAATGGGATGCGGCAAGTTTTTTTCCTTAGGTTCAGCCGGTTCATTCAGTATATCTAGCGACCTGATACTGTCTTCTTCGGCGAGTAACTGACATCCCTGACCGGTCATGGCTATCGTACCACGGACGGGGCTTTTCTGCCGGAAGCGCTAGGTGCCAGCCAATCGGGATAGCCCCAACTTTTTTGTATTGGGATTTCATGCTTCTACGAGGAACCGTACTCACTGGTATTAGAGTTCCCGGAGGGAGAGTACCAGTAAGAATGGTGTGTACCACATTGTTTTTGGACTTTGGGTTAGTCGAGGGGGGATTTGAATCTGCGCCACGTACGACACAGGCCGGTGCATAATTAAGGCACCAGGGGGGATCCCTATGGACGAAGCAGTTGTCTACATGTACACAAGGCAACTTGTCATACGTGTTTATGCGATTTATAATTTAAAAGTTTGTTTTCGCATGAGAAAAAGACGGCATAGCCAGTCATTGGCCACGAATGCAGCCGCCAGAGTCTATCGTGGTGAAGTGGATTCTAAAAATTGCATGATAATGTTACACACCACTCACTGTAACGGACTACCGACTGTTAGAGAGGATCGCCGATGCCGCGTATGGACCTTCTTTCTTCTTTTGTACCCGTCAGCTGGCGGGGCGCTCTTCGGATAACTTGTTGAGGACGTAGACGTCTGCCTTGAGGGAGGTAGACCTGGAAGGATCGAGTAGATATGATTTACTCGGTGGGCCGGTAGGTGGCCACTCGACCGACCTTGTCGAGAGTGGACTTGAATCCAAATTCTTCAGGGAGCTTATCCCTGGTCTTGTCCTTCTTGTTTCAGGGGTATCAACCACATGACCTTTACTTTTCTCCCGGGCCGTGAGGTTAAGGAGGCGCTTCCGATAGCGGGTCTTGGGAGGGATGCTACTCGAACGAGCTCACAGGCCAAATATATCTTGGAGCTCTATTCGCACTGGAACTTAACCACGGAAATGTCTTCAACGGGGGGCCAAAATATTTCCCTCTTGGAGCAGGCGTGTGATTAGAATTGAGCATCGTTGAGCGCGACAAAGACGTGCCAAGTAGATCGCAAACTGAGTAGTGTTTATTATAGTCCCATAAAGTCCTTTACCCTATCTTTGCCCGAAGCCCTCATTATTGTGTTGGCTGGTCTAATCCTTGTGTTTACTGGTCACAATTGCCTAAATCATGAGTACCAAAAAGGAACCGGGTGTACCGAAGAGGGGCCCAGGTCTACCGATGAGAGACCGTGTATTCTGACGAGGGACCCAGGCCTACCAATGAGGGACCTGGTCTTTTGACGAGGGACCCAGATCTACCGATAAGGGGCTGAAGGCCAGGTCTGTCAATGAGGGACCTAGACAGATTGATGAGGGACCCAGGTCTACCGATAAGGAGGGATCGAGGTCGTCCGACGAAAGACCAGGTCTGCCAGTGAGAGACCCAAGTCTACAAATGAGGGGACCATGGTCGACTCCTTTTGTTACCGTTTAACCAGTGCCCGGTAATGATCCAACCCCTTTGTTGGCCGTCCTAATTCTCAGCCAGCGATCGCTTCGCTCCCAGGTTCCCTTTCTCTCCGGTCTCTTCCCTTTGGTGCTTGGCTCCTTCTCCCTGGTGCGCGGTCCCTTGTCCCTTTAATATAACTGCCCCCTTGATTCTCCACATTTCGCAAAGCACTGAATAACACTTATGTCATGCGGTCGGACTTAGTAGAAGGGGATAATAGGCCTTTGTATTTCTAAATATGGCCCTTACAACATTAACTGCCGTCATTTTAGTGCCATCTTTTCCTACTACGTGCGCATGTGATGCACGTTGGGAGGCAATTACAAGGAAATAATGCAGCCTTACCCTATCATTGGGTTTAGGTCGTTAGAGCATCGTATTATAACACCTATGTAGACGAACTCTTCAAAGAAGCTGCCACGTGCTACTCTGGCACCCACCTTCAAGCACATGAGGAAACGGCAAAACTGACTTTCTCTGTGCGCGTTGGTGGGGTGGCTGGTTGACCACTATAGCGGTAGTAACAACGTGTGCCGATCGCCGAATCGAACCGCGCAAAGAACTTCTAAGCAAGTCCTTTATTTGCGCCACGCCGAAGCTTATATAGCTTCTCGTGGGTGATCTTTAGTGTGCAAATTCATATTTAGCTATTTTTATTAATTATAAGACTGATCTAAAATTAATAATAATTGCTTAATATGAATCTAACTACTAATTGATTAATATGTTATGATAGGTGCCATCTCGGCAGATGCGCATCCCATCGTGCGACCTTAGATACATTTGAGCTCGCTAAGTGACGTAATTGACTGACGTCATTTGATGATGTCTAGTATCAACTGGGCGTCCTCCCCGTCGATTGTGTATCTATTAATGAAAAATTACATTCACGAGGGTCGGCCACATTGATATGCCTCACCGAAGTGGTAAGTCTAATGTAACTCGTACCCATTGAGGCATGTCCGCTAAGTATTCGAATAATTAATGTACCGTGTAACTTTCAGCCCGTTACACCATCCTCTCTTCAAGACGATGTTTACATTTTGTAAAACATCAAAAAGATGCTACCGAAACGCGGAAAATCTGATGGGTCGCCTGCAAAGGCGCCCATGCGTACCAACACAAAGCGCTCACGCCGCGATAACTCGCAGCCGTCGCTAAGTGTCTCTGTGACAACGCCGACATTCAATGTCAGCTTCTCAGCAGAGAACACTGGTCCATCCCACTATGGTGCGGTCGAAGATCTGTCTATGATTAGACTACAATGAGATCACTCCATAGCCATCACCTCAGAGTGGTGATGAGCATAGCCCGTTGATGGGATTATGTTCCTATCACTAGAGCCATTCTCACCAGGTGTAGCGGAGCTACACAGCTCTTTAGTCAGATGAAGACTTTTTAGGGTAAAAGCCTTTGTTTTATAGAACTAATTTATCGACTAAGAAGTCACCCTGTTTTAAGGAATTAGGAGGGACTTCTAGTCTACAAAAGATAGCTATAGATTAAGAAACCAACGCACAAAGTGCAAGAACAATCTAAAAGCTAGAATGTTCAGAGAACTGACGCACTATGTGCAAGAACAAGCTAGAAGCTTAAAGGTTTTTAGCGAACCAACGCACGAAGTGCGCAAAAGAACAAGTCTTATTGAGACATGTGATCATATAGTCAAAATGATATTAAATCATATTCATGCGTTTACATTTTGTG